GAATTTCACAGCCTTGGCTGTTGGTGACCCTTACAACCTACACTGACACCATTATGGCAATGCAGTCCTGTAGCCAAGATTGTGGCTACATCTATGGTGACTGGACCTGCAGATCTACCCTTCCACACCCTGCCAGCTGGCACACTCAGGCTCATCTGCAAGGAAAGTTTTTCTCTGGTTAAAACAGTCATAATCTGAATGAGTCAACATAGTAATGGACAGAGGAGGAACTAGGCAGAAATCTTGGAGATGAAGAACTTAGCCAGTCAAGTCAATATTGCAATAGTGAGCTTTGGCTGTAAACTAAATCGAGCAGAAGGCCTCCAGAGATTATAGGATACTGTGAAGTGAACAGATACTTCCACCACAGAACATGAAGGAAAAGTCATAGAAGGAAGAAACTTGTTTAGTGAAATAATTCCTGAAATCTTCAAAATCTTGGGAGAGATATGGATATCCACAAACACAAAACTTAAAGATTCCCAAATAGTCTCAATCCTAAGAGATCCCCTCCAGTATACATTAAAATAAAAGTATCAGGCAAAATTTTAAAATGTTTTAAAATCACATAGAGAAAAGCATCATGCCCTATATGAAGGACTCTCTATTGGGCCATCAGTAGATTTCAGCATAAAGCATGCAGGGCCAGGAGCAAGAGAACAGGATGTTTGATGCAAGGTTCTTGATGGTGGCAGCAGTGGTGGTAATGGTGGTGGTGGTGATGATGGTTGCTTTGGGTTGAGTACAGGGGTCTCCTGTAGCCCAGACTGGCCTCAATCTTACCATGTAACTGAGGATAACCCTTAGCTCCTGATTCTCCCTGAAACTCCTAAATGCCATAATTGCAAGTATATGTAATTGTACCATGCCTAGCTCAAAGCTCTTAAAAAGGAAAATGAATGAAGGCCTGATAGACAATAGCACTAAACCCAGCAAAGCTGTCTTTCAGAAATGAAGGAGAAATAAAGTCCCATACAAGTGAAGGTGAGGGCATTCATCACCACCAGACCTTCTTGCCAGAAATGCTAACATGGATTATCATCCATCAGTCTTTTCTTCAATGCCCTAGTATTACATGATGACTTTATTACTATGGAGATGAGCTGGAACCACTTTTCATCTGAAATTCAGAAACCCAGCCTAATATAATCAAATAGATTATCTTACTTAGGCGTACTGATTAAAGTTAAAAATAAGATCAAACATTCATGTTTTTATTTTATCAGTTTCAAATTGCTTTGGGGAAGAGTTTGTTTGTTTGTGATTCTGGAAATCAAACCCATTATACATATGATGCAAGTGCTCTACTGCTGAGCTACATCTTAGGCTGCTTTTATTTTCTGATTTGAAATAGGGTTCCACTAAGTTATTCGGGTTTGCCTTGAACTCACTCTGCAGCCCAGGCCTAGGCCCTGGCCTTGAACTTGTAATCTTCCTGCCTCAGTCTCCAGATAGTATCACCATACCTGGCAATTTTAGTTGTAGTTGCTGCTGTGCTGCTGTTGTAAGACTAAAAGGGCCCCTCAATTGGATAACATTTGCAAATTTTAATTAGAAAGTGTTTTTAAGCTGGAGAACAATTTTATTAGAGTTTAAAAAACAAAACAAAATCCAAGGCCAACAAGCTGTTAATCACAGCAGCTGCCTGGAGAAGAGAATGGAGCAAAGGCATGAGTTAAGCTGGCATGGAGGTCAGCCACATGGCAGGGAGGGGAGCTTCACAGAAAGTCTAAGGGAAGCCCAAAGTACCAGAAAAAGCATATTAGATTCTGGCCTCATCCAAAAGTAGGAGACAGAAAAAAGAAAAAGACTCAGAAAGAATTTCATGGCATCTCATGGAGACTATGCTCTGGAAAGTATTTTTAATTACTTTTCATTCACTTTCAGCTAGGACTGGGTCCTTTCCAGTCTCCACCCTCAAATCCCTAGCAGCACCTGTTAACTCAACACTGAACAGGGTCTACACTTTGTTTCTCGCATTACTTTTAATCTCAGCTGTTATTAATGCTACTAGTAACTACGTGTGACTGCATACCATAGAGGTATTCTCTGATCTCTTTATTTCTTAAGCTAAAATTAAATCTGGACACAAGAATTGTTTGAAGTTCTGTGAGATTGTTGGTATCGCCTGAATTAAATTGTCTTGTGACTGTTTTACATCAGCATGTGTAGGAGCTGTGATTGTTTTGGAAATTAAAGCTTATTGTTTACTGCAGATCCAAGCCCATTTCTCACCACACATAGAGCAAAGCAGGGGAAACCCCACAAAGTCTCAGGGTGGGAAGACTGCCTGACCTGCATTGCCTCCTGGAGGACAGGCAGGGTATGGTTCACTTCCCTTTGTGTGTTCTTTGAATGTTTCCCTCCAGTCTTTCTTCAGTTCCCAATGGAGTAAGCAGAACGGCCTTTCATAGCAAGAAGAGAGGGAAAGTGGGGCAGACATGCAGTGTCAGTCAGCAGGCACTTAACGTAAACTGAAAGTTCTTGTCTTCCTGTTTCCTGATTGCCACTTGAAAAATTTGACCATTTTCTATAAAGTTTTTAATTTGATCAAAAATCTTTGGAAATTTTATGCAAGTGTTTTGCTACTTACCTGGGTAGCTGCTGACATTTTAATTCCATTACTTGGGAATTTGCAACAATGTGTGCCCACTGAAATTGTGCAGCAGCTCTTTAGGGCCTGAATCTCCTGTTGCCCAGCTAGCATGGGACATCTGGACCCCGCACATCCAGAACACAGCACCATCCATTTTGGGACACGTGGGAAAGAGCTGCTTCTCCCAGATGAAAGTCCTGGGGGCCTCCGAGCTCAGTTCAGAACAGGAAATGTGTTAAGTCAGACATGTAGGACTCATGGCCTAAGAGAAGTTTTAATAAAACAGTCTTCCCTTGGATCATGCATTATTCCACAATAATGGAACAGTCTTCCCTTGGATCAGTGCATTGGGAGGTGATGCATTGGTGCATAGACAGCCCCACCTGCCATTCACTGTCATCTAATGTGTCTTCAGTCCTATAGAGACCACACTGCAGCCAGAAAAGGCAGCACAGGATGACAGATGCACAGGATGACAGGTATAGGCATGGCATAGCAGGAGAGAACAAGTCGGGACATAATGTAGCAGGAGGTTGCAGGACAGATATGGCATGGCAGGAGTGAGCAGGTCTGGGCATGGTACAGAACAGAGGTATACGTGAAGGGTGTGGCATAGCATAGGAGTACAGATATGGGCATGGCATGGCAGGAGGGAACAGGTATAGGCACAGTGCAGCACAGGAGCACAGGTGACAGGCATCGCATACCAAGAGGATGTAGATGCAGGCATGGCCCAGCATGGGGATGTGGGCATGGGCATGGGGATAGGATACAGGCATAGTCATAGCATAGCATAGCATAGCATAGCATAGCATAGCATAGCATAGCATAGGAGTGTAGGTGTGGGCATGGCATAGCACATGGGTAGGGGCACAGGCATGGCTGAGCATCAGCTCTTGCCCTCACTGCTCCCTGGTGGTATTTTTTGGAATCATTTGTTAGTTTCTAGCCATCCTGGGAGCAACATAGACAGACCTCCTCAATATGTTCCTGACAGAAACATAGCTGTATCCCTATGAAAATTCATACACGGCATGTAATACTTCTGTCATTTTGTGTGCAGTATCTTCTGATGGATCTTGCCCCCCTGGAATTTCAGGGTTTTGATGCTCTTGTAACCCAGATCAGAGCCCCAGATGCCAGGGGATCAATGACTGTCATTTAGCCTAAACCCACTCTGTGGGTTTTACTGGAGATGAATGCGACACAATGCAAAGAGAGAGAACAGATGCAGAAGGTGAAATAGAGATGGCAAGGGCTAGAGACAGGACAGAGGCAGCAACAGATACAGGGACGAGGACAGAGGGAAGGGAATGCTGGGAATCTGGAGGGCTCCGACGGCAGATTTGGTCAATCACTGAATGGCTGTGGCAGCTTGTCTGTGGAAAACCTCAATGTAATGAGAATTTCATGTGGTCCGTGCCTTACGATACAGGAATATGGAGGCTAACGTTTATTTTCAGCCTAATTTAATATTGTCAATGAATAGAAGTAACGTTGACCATTTACATTAAATCCACATATGGTTGAATGAGCATTCCAGTATGGAAGAAAGAGTTATTTTCCAATATTCAATGAGATACCTATAAAATTAAAATTGACTTGTAACCAGACTGCCTGCCAATAAACTAGAAAAGAAGAATGCTTCATAATTTTCACAACTTTGTTCAGTCACATTGAAAGCATCTCTTTCTTCTCCTATGACAAGGGTGATGTTAAGTGAAAGTTAGCTGCGAGATTCCACTCAGCTTTACAAGGCAGTCTTTCCCTCTGCCTCAGTGTTCTGGCACAGTCTCTTTAATGACAGCAGTCTGTGTACATTTGTGTGGGTGAAAGAGGGGAGTGCTAAGTGACTTCTACAAATCATTGTTTATTGTCGGTGTTGACTTGATGAAAAGTGTGAACCAAACCTTCCACATACTGTGATAAAATCCATTATTAGAAGGAATGACGTTTGTGTTCCAGATCACACAAGGCTCTCAATATGCTTAAAATTGGCCTTCCACTTAGCTCACTGGGGGTTGCTGGCTACTGCCTTGTATTTCCACACACCTACATGCACTTATGCTTACTACACACACACACATACACACACACTCACACACACACACTCATGTGTACACACAGCACAGATTAATATATATGGACGTTCACACACATGTACATGCACACGTATGCACATTCCACACTTATATACAAGTATGCACCCATAACATATTGGCATTCCATCCCAGTCACATCTAGACTGGTGTGCACATGCGTATTTAGACACACATGCAAACAGTGTAGTGGCACATGGATGCCATTTCAGTTCTTGTAAGCACGATGTTACTTAAAGACTGTCATAGAGATGTAATTTGCTGAGATCCCTTCTAACAATGTTGTTGCTTTTGTAACCCTGCAGCCGACCAGACAGGGATGTTGTTCATAGGAGACGCTGTTCTACAGGTCAGTACTTTAAACATTAATCCTGGAATATTGTGGCTTTTTATTTTAAACTTATTTTAATCTGTCATTATCCTCAAAGTTCTTCATTTTTCACCTGTTCAGGTTAATGGCATTAATGTAGAAAGTGCAACCCATGAAGAAGTGGTAAGTGTCACATTTTATGGGGTTTGTTCTGTTTATTTGCTGCTATTTTCACCTATTTTTTCTATTAGCTTATGTTTAACTGAGAATGTTTAATAGGCACAGGCTTAGAATTAGAAAGGAAAACCACCTGCAAGGTTTAGCTAATTGCATCACATGAGTGTCCCGTGGACCTTCACAGGCACTGAGGGAGTGAGTCTGGTTTTTTCCCCCATTTTAAATTCAAGGGCACAGAAATTCAGGGAGCATTTGACTTACCTGTATTTTCTGGAGGGTGATCCTGGTGCTAAAGGCAGAGTCTGCTAGGTTTCCCTCAAGGTCTCTCCAGTACCACCCGTACCTTCACTGTACAGTTATTTTCACAGATTCTGGAACACTGTCTCACACCAGCGTGTTAGTGTGAAAATGTGTAATGTGGAAGAATGAGGTGATAGACACACATTGGTAATTGCATAAGATGATGTGGGCCATACATATTCATCTGCAGTTTGACTCCAAGGAAATGGACTTGGGTCATGTTGGCCTCTATAGGATAAAGAAAGATGGAGAAGACACCTGTTCTTGAAGCCTTAATTCTAGTGGTTGGACAGAAAGGGTCCCACAGTACAGCCACATAGTGGACTTGCCATAGTGCCTGTGTAGGAAGGGCCCTGAAGCTAGTCTGGGGAGCAAGTATGGAGATGCTATTAAAGCTGGATCTTGAGAAATAAGATGAAGAAAGAGGTGAGGTGAAGAGTTCTGGCAGAGCAGGCCATGTGCACAGGGACTGAGCTGGAATGAGGTGGGAACACAGAACAAGGAAGAAGGCAGAGGAACTGAGGCAGGAGGCAGGCCTGGGACCAGAGGAGACACTTAGTGTCCCCATTCTGTGTGACAGGAATGCTGAAACACGAGTTAAGTTGGCAAGCATTCCCTAATGGTGTTCTTCCATTCATCCCTCCACTCACCAGTACTTTTTCAATATGTCAACTTTTATTCTGAGTGAAGGCAAAGTCACCTCTGGCACAGCGCTGAATTCACATGAAACCACAGAGTGTTGGCAGCGATTTGTGCCCAAAGAATGGCCCAGCAAGAGCAGCTCGTTTATTCACCTATTTCCCGACTCAGGACATGTGTATTGCCCTTTTCTGTGTTCCAGGCATGGGGGGAGATTCACAAATGGGCTGACCTTGGTCTGTGCTGAAGATCACATCTGTGGCCCAGCACACATGACTAAAGTCATCACAGGCTGGACACAAGGCCTGTGACAGCTATCATGAAGGTGGTAGCTACTAAAATAAGGACTTAGTTGTAGTGTGTGTGTGTGTGTGTGTGTGTGTGTGTGTGTGTGTGCGTGTGCGCGCATGTGTGTGCGTGTGTGTGTTTGTATGTCTTCTAAGTAGAGGCCTGTCTTTAAGCCAGAAAAAAGCTGAGAAAACACTAGGACCTAGTTATGAAAGAAATCACTCGTGGTCTTTTTTTAAGGGCCAGGAAATCTTAGTGATTTCAGAGGCTCTTTTTTAGCAGATGCAGTGCTTAAACCAGTGGGAGGGAAGGTGGCTGAACTCACAAGAAACCCAGGCACAGACACTGGGAAGGTGTGGGTGTTCTGTCCTTTTCTAGGGTAACATAGACATCTATTCTCAATCATGGCAGATCAAAGAAATGATTCCATTTGTCTGATCTGGTGAGCCAATGAGTATATTGGAGCTACTCATAAAAGTATGGGGGACTCAAAGGCACCTGCATCACTGAAAGAAGGCCACCCCAGCTTGAGTGATGACTCATAAAATATGTATGCCCAACTTGCAGGCAGCTCCACCAGAGAGAGTCTCCTCTCCCTGGCAATGATCACTGCTTTTATAACCTTGGGGTGGGGCCTTGGAAATCTTGTCACCTGTGGAGCTTCCTGGACCTTGTACATTTCCTTAGATTCTTGTGTCCTGAGCGTCCCTCTTCCCTCTGGGAGTGAGCACTGCAATGGGGGGAAATAGCTGTACCACAGTGGGGTGCTTGGAAGTGGACTTGAAGGTCAGGTAGCATCACCCAGTTCAGTACTGATACACAAGAGCGGCCACGGCCCACCACACAGCACAGGGCAGGTGGGAGGATGTGCAAGGCCTGGCGATCCTTCCTGATGGATGGAAGGAAAATGAACGTACCCTTTTTTCTTTTCTAATAGATAAATATATTAAATAATATAAAGCATGTACAGATAAGGTAGAAAATCAGAATAGAATTAGAAACATATAGGTGCATTAAAATACCATTGCGAATGTAGAATTAAAGGACTCAGTACATCAAACAGATTATGCAAAATAAGCAGCATTGTTTTCTGACATTCTGGTTGACCCAACACCTCATCTAAATTAAAATACTGGAGTATTCGCACAGCCTCTAGCATCCTGGTGCCAGCATCTTTCCTGGGTAAGTCCAGAGGTGCCCACTGCACCTTGAGTCCCCCAGCCTCATTCACCCTCCCAGCTCCCCCGCCACCTCTCTCCTCCTAGCCTGGGTACTGGCCCATTTCTTGTCTTGGTACCCCAGACACCAGGACTGACCTCTCAGCCTAGAGCCACCATTGCTTCCTTATCCTTTGCATCCAGACCAACCCAGTTCCTCCCTGTGGTCCCCAGGATCCCTCTGGGCCTGTTCCCACCCTCACTTCACTTTGTCCAGTGTCCTGGTGCCAGCATCCTTCCTGGGTAAATCCAGCAGTGCCCACCGCACCTTGACTCCCCCAGCCTCATTCACCTTCCCAGCTCTCTACCCCATCTCTCCTCCTAGTCTGGGTACTGACCCATTTCTGGTGTTGGTACCCCAGACACCTGGGGCTGACCTCTCAGCCCAGAGCCACCACTGCTTCATGATCTTTTGCATCCAGACCAACCCACTTCCTCCCTGCAGTCTCCAGGAGCCCTCTGGGCCTCTTCCCATCTCCACCTCCCTTTGCATCACTGCATGGCACAGCCACCAGCTTCCTGAAACCAGCATCTCTCCTGGGCCCTGCTCCCAGGCCAATCCAGCCCCCAAATTCTTGAGGACAGCATCTTACCTGGAATGATCCAGACCTTAGGAGAAAGTCTGAGAGCACCTGATCTTCATCTGACTTGGGTCTCTGTGGGAACTCCTGAAGACAAAAGCAATTTGGCCACTCCAATATAAAATCAAAAGAGAGAACATGAATCCTGGACCAAGCAGCTTTTCATGCCCAACAAGTAAATCACAAAGGCACATAAAGTTTACAAAAAGAAGCAGACCTAAACTCAACAAAGGAAGGCTTGAGTCTCACAGAAGAATCGGAAACTACAAAAGAAATTCAAGTCAAAGTTACAGAGAAAAAATAATAACATGAAAAAACAAAATAACATATCCCCACCAAGTACCAATAGTCCTCTAGAGGAGTACAATGAGAACCCCCTAGAGATAATGCAGGACATGGAACTCAAAAGAACAATTATAAACATGATGAAAGAATTCAATGAATTTAAAGAACACACAAACAAAGAAATCAAAGAACTGAAAGAAGATAGGGATAAACTTCTGAATGAATTCAGAAAAGTTAGAAATATTGAAGAATATTCAGGCTGAAATGAAGAAGAAAGTGAAACACCCAATAAGCCAATTAGAAATGACAGGAAAAAGCCTCACCAATAGGATGAATGAAATGGAAAACAGAATATCAAGACTGGAAGATAAAGTGGATGAACTAGATCACTCAAGCAAAAAGTATGAAAAATTTAAGAAAACACAAGAATGGAATATGCAAGAATTGTGTGACACAATGAAAAGACCAAAGTTATGAATCATAGGCAAACAGGAAGGAGAAGAATCTCAAGATAATGGTATGGACCGGATCTTCAACAGGATTGTACAAGAAAATTTCCCAAAATTGAAGAAAGGCATGCCCATACAAATACAAGAAGCACTTAGAACACCAAATAGATAGGACGAGAAAAGAAACTCTCCTCGGCACATCATAGTAAAAACACTGAATGTACAGAACAAAGAGACAATACTGAAAGCTGCAAAAGAAAAACAACAAGTCACATATAAAGGAAAACCCATCAGGATTGCAGCTGACTTTTCAGTGCAAACTATGAAAGCCAGAAGAGCCTGGACCAAAGTATTCCCAGTTCTAAATGATCACAGATGCCAAAACAGATTATATTATTCAGCCAAAATGTCTATTATATCGAAAGGGAAAGAAAAATCTTCCATAACATAATAGGCTGAAGGAATTCATGTCCACAAAACCAGCCCTTCAGAGAGTTCTTGAAGCAATACAAAGAGCTGAAGAAAGAAATGACTGTACCCAAGTGGTTGCAGAAAGAAATTCAATGAAGGTATAACTGTCGAAAACTACAGCTATATCAAGAATGTAAACAGAAATAAAAATGACTGGATTCAATACACATCTTTCATTAATAACTTTGAATATTAACGGACTGAATTCCCCAGTCAAAAGACACAGACTAGGTGAATGAATTAAGAAACAAAACCCATCTTTTTGTTGTCTGCAAGAAACTCACCTCACTTTCAAGGACAGGCACTACCTTAAGGTGAAAGGATGGAAAAACATATACCAAGCGAATGGTACTAAGAAAAAAGCAGGCGCTGCAATTCTATTATCTGATAAAATAATCTTTAAACTAAAATTGAACAGAAGAGATAAAGAGGGCCACTTCATTCTGATCAAAGGAACAATAAACAAAGAAGGTATTACAATCATGAACATGTATTCACCAAACTTCATAAAAAAAAGTACTACAGGACTTTAAGGTCCAGATTAATCCCAACTCACTAATAGTAGGGAATCACTGACTCCATTAGATAGGTCAACAGGACAGAGAACTAACAGAGAGACATCTGAATTGAATTAAACAATGCCATATATTAAATGGACTTAACAGACATCTACCAAATATTCCATCCAAGCACCAAAGGACATACTTTCTATTCAGCACCCCATGAAACCTTCTCCAAAATCGACCATGTACTGGGGCACAAAACAAACCTCAACA